AGGGGTCCCTTCCAACGAATTTTTTCTATGATTCGATGACATATACGGGAGCTAGAAGCTAAATTTAACTTTAGATTGAATGGTGTGAATGTGCTGCTTGGCCCAAGGAACCCCTGCCCCTCCTCTACTGAAGTCCCTTCCTGCTCATTCTTTCTGCAGGCTGCCAGAAGGTGACTTTGCCACCTAGTGGACTTCTGAGAATATCTAGTTTAGGATGTCCAGAAGATTCATCGCAGGTGCAACTGCTGTGCCTGGAGAGGCTGCGTGGGCACCAAGAAGAAATGTCATAAATTCCTGTCCCCACACTCGAATGGAGGATAGCCATTACCCTCTTCTATAACCCTCCAACCCTGCCTTCTACAATCTGTGTTGTTACAGCCATGGTGCATGGTGCCAACACAGGCCAGGACATGCTGCTTCTGTTTCCCTTCCAGATGTAGCCAAATGCCACTTCCTCCATAATACACTACTTCTCTGTGTTGTTCTGCAGGAATGAACAGGTCTGGTGGGTAAGGCAGGGACAGTAAGGCCTTGAGCTCTCAACACACATTTCGACCACCCCCTCATCACCAGCAGAAGGGGGCTAGTATCAACAGTGGAGAGGGGGGGCCTTGAGCTCTCAACACACATTTCCACCACCATCACCAGCAAAAGGGGGCTAGTATCAACAGTGGAGAGGGGGATGTTAACTGCTTGCTGATGTAATCTGAAGGCCCACCACAAGGGGAAAACATCCTATTTCAAACCATAAGGTTACCTTCTTACATCCCACTGTCAGATTACAGTCGTGCCTCACTTTACGATTGCCCCGTATAACGACGAATCCGCTTAACAATGCTTTTTTGCGATTGCAAAAGCGATCGCAAAACAATGCTTCCTATGGGCAAAACCTGCTGTGATGATGATCGGTTCCCTGCTTTGGGAATTGATTTTTTGCATTATGACGATCAGCGAACAGCTGATCGTCGCGTTCCAAAATGACTGCCGGCTGAAGAAAATGCTCCCCCACGCTGTTTTCTAGGACGGATTCCTCGCTAGACAGGCACCGAAAATGGCCGCCGTATGGAGGATCTTCGCTGGACAGTGAGTTTTTAGTCCATTGGAATGCATTAACCAGGATTTAATAAGTTTCAATTGGTTTTTTATTTCTGCTTTACGATGTTTCGCTCTATAGCGATTTCGCTGGAACGAATTAACATCGTTAAGCGAGGCACCACTGCACTTACTGTAGTTAAGCCAACTGCTGGTTTCTATCCTGCTCCACAACAGATGGATGCCAACAGCAGGAAGGAGAAGGGAAAGTGGCCAAGAGGTTGCAACAATAGCAGCATCTCCCAGATGGATAGCAGAGCTAAAAAGAAACAGAAATCTCCAGGTTGCAATCTGCCACCTTCCTTCATTCACTTTATACATGAACATAGCTGGGAGTGGGGTCTGGAGGAAAAAGCAGAAGCAGCTCTACTGACACAATTTTGTGGTACTTCTAAGTACAGATTGTGGAGCAAACAGGTACTCCAAGGATGAAGAGGGAAAAGTAAATAATGTTAAACTATAATGTTGAATAGAATAATTTGGTTCACCTCAACCAAATCTGCTTCCTTTCCACCACTGTGTGTAAATGCTCTCTCTCTCTCTCTCTCTCTCTCTCTCTCTCTGTGTGTGTGTGTGTGTGTTTGTGTGTAATACAGAAAGAGAGATCGAGAGAGATCACAAGAAATATTTCTCTTAAGTGCCTATGTTTATTGTTCAACAATCCCCAGTGTGTTTTGGAAAATATTATTTCTTTCATCAGGGGCATCTATAACTCTAAATAAATGTACAAGATGTTAGCACAGCCCTCCTTCTTTCCTTCCTTCCTGTTGTCCTACCTCTGCTAATCCTTTTATGGTTTGCTGTCACGCTGTTTGGTTTTGAAAGGATTATACAGTGTTCTGTACAAAAGGTGGAATTATTCCATAGTGCTTCTTAACATGTACAGATATATTACACACCACAAGAACATAATTTGTTTTGTTTGGATTATTTCTGTTTTGTTCACAATTTTTAAAAATTATTTTTGCTCATCTGGAGATGACAAGAGGGAAATTGGTACAACAGCCAAAATATTTTTGTTAATTAATGTCCGTTTCCTCCTCTTGCTACTTTTTGTATCAGTTAAAATAAAAATAAATAACTAAACATCCGAATAGATAGCAAATGTGAGAAGACTAACGCAGATGTGACAGAAGATAGATCAGGATAATTGTGGTGTAGTGCTGGACTACGACTTGGGAGAGCTGATTCAACTCCTTACCAATGTATAAATCTCACTAGATGATTTTGGGCCAGTCATTCTCCCTGAGCCTGAACTACTTCACAGGGTTGTTGTGAGAATCAAGCAGGGATAAAAGAACCATCTATGGTGCCTTGAGTCCACTGGGGAAAGAGCAATGAATGCAAGTACATACAGAAATATTGTCTAAGTGATTTGCAGTAAACTGAGACAAAGTTTCTGACTCTCATTGTTAAGCAATTATAATAAATTTAAAAGGCTCTGTCAGTCCAAATTAGCATGCTAAGATAAATGCTAGGTAGAGCTATTGGGTTTGCAGGTGAAACTGAAACTCTTAGTATGAACATGTGCTCAGATGTACCTTTTTCCTTTATGGTAAGTGTATCTTTGGCTCCTGGGGTTATTATTTTTTCATTTGGGTTTTATTATCAGATCTTCAGTTTGTTTGATGTTTTTTCAAAAAACAGAAATAGTAAATCCAGTAAGACTAAAGTCTCATTGTGACACAATAAAGGTTTATTCGCTGATAAAACCTTTGATGAGAAGTGGGCAAGCAGGGCCACATGCCAATGTGGTGGAGGTGAACCCAGCAATGGGCAAAACAAGGGTCAGAGACCTCCTTGCAGCAAACTCTCCCCTCATATTTGCATGCAAACACAGTCACAGAACATGACTGTATCTTCATATGATTATTAGCAGTGCAATCCTATTTTTTTCAAGTTCTCATTGTTTTCAGTGGCATTTGTGAGCGAGTATTAGATTGCAGCAATCTTATCAATTGAGTAAAGATGCAGAAAGTTAAAGCATATTGTAAATTAGTTTAATTAGTTTGCTGTAAACATAATGAATGACATTAATAACATTTTTCAAAGACGGAGCGGTACTAGTCTGTTTCAGGAGGTAGCAAAAACTAAACTAAACTAAACAGAAATATTGTACGATCTTAAAGACTAGTGATTTATTTCAATATAAGATCTTGAAATAAACTTTCTCAGACAGAGTGCAATATTTTAGCCACAGTTTTCATAGTGATGAAGGGGGAGGAAAGTGTAGAGAACTATAGGCACAGATAATAAGCTTTCAAAATGATTGACACAGGTAAATAACTTTCAAAAGAATGAGATTTCAAAGTATTGATTACATAAACATTGTGATGATCTCTTGTTCAAATTGAATTATTTTTGCGATTGTGGTAATTTTTATTAATGAATATATTCTTTATAACTATACCTTGAACATGCGTCATTCTCCAAAACGTTAAGCCTGGTATGAACTCATTGCCAAAAGGAGGTGCTCAAGGCAATATTTCACCATGTTTGCCTTCGATGTTTCAATTTGGTCTTCAAAGATTTTTCACCTGAAATATAAGAACAGAACATCATCATAAATTATGGAAAGAAAGGCCTACCTATAAGGAGGCTAGAATAAAATAAGCATTTATAGAGCATTTTATGGCACAAATTTTTAAAAATGGCTGCAGTCATGTATTAGTCCCAGCTAGAGAAGGGCCATTAAATTAATGAGACTTATTAATTAAAGTTCCCTTCTGTTTGGGACTAATAGATTCAGTCTACAATTTTAATAGCAACAACAACATGTGGAACCCTGAGTTACTTATTTGAAGTGAGATAAATTATATTATGTATATAATACAACAGCATCAACAATACTGTAACTATGTCTGAGGTTACAAGGTAAGTCAAATGAATACTGTACTGTAGTATTAAAAACATAATTTTGACAGCAGTAGGAACAAGTCCTATGGGCAGTTCAGATAAGGGTAAAAATAACAACTATTGTTGTCATGTGCAATCAAGTCACTGACAACCTATGAGTGATCCCCGAAAGGCCCTGCCCTCAACAGCCCTGGTCAGCTTTTGAAGATTCAGCCCAGTGGCTTCCTTTAGGGAGTCTGCCCATCTCCTATTTGGTTTTCCTCTTTTCCTGCTGCTTTCAACTTTTCCCAGCATTATAGTATTTTTCAGAGAATAAGATCTTCTCATGATGTGTCCAAAGTAGGACAGCCCCGATTTCAGCATGTTTGCCTCCAGAGATCTTTCAGGCTTGATTTGATCTAAATGATTGATGTTTCTTCTACCAATTTTCAATCCTCCTTTCTCTCTACTAGCCCAACTCCCAGTATAATATGGATAATATAGATAATAATAATATCCATAAAAATCCAAATGGGGTCCTTTTAAGGAGAAAGGTGGGGTAAAAATATTCAAAATAAATAACAATAAATAAATACAGCCATTGTGGCTGAAGTTATAAAATACAAGTATAGTACATCATTTTGAATAATGAAAAGGGAAAGACGCTGTTCTGTAATAAGAATAGGAATACACGTAGCCCACGCTGGGAACCTGTCAACATTCTCTCAGCTGAAAATTGAGAACTGAAACGTCCTTATCATGACTGGGACTGTACAAGAAAATGCAAAACCGACCCCAAAAAGAACCGTGGAAGGAAAACTTGGTTTTTGCTCTGATTGCTGTCATTATTCTATTAATAATTAATCGCGACAATTCGACTTCCTTAAGAAAGGCACCCCCTGCGAGGGAAGGAGAGCCAGGAGCCCCCCAGACTGAGGGGCCTCCCTCTCGCCTGCCCGCGCGCTCGCTCCTCCCTCAGCCGGCCGAGGCCGCGCGCTCGCCTCCCATTGGCTCTTCCGCGGGGCCGGAAGCGGGCTCGG